TATATATATATAAGAGTTCGTTTATACCGAAAGTTTCAATAGAAAAAAAGAAATAGCTAACGGATGTGCACACATTTCTATAAGTGAGAAAAGTAAATTACCAGTGAAGCACTTTATCACAAGTTATTACGCAATATATAATGCTTTGATAAATATATATTGATAAATTTGTTTGAAAATAGCTCCACTTATCGGAAAGAACTTCTGTATAGACAGATGTTTTCATGCAACCACACTTAGGTCACATTAATTAATTAATTTTTATTATATTATATTAATTAACGGAAATGTTTATGAAAAAATTATTTTTGAAAAATCTATGTTTTATAAGAAGGACAAGATTGAATAATTAACGTTACCTTTTTATTATTTACTGAAAATAGTAAAGTCGTTACATTTAAACCTATTGAAGGAATGAGCTGGCAACAAATCAAAGAACGACGTGTGAAGATGAATCGCCATCGCTGGTCATCTATGCGAACGAAGTTACGAGTATAGATATTTCATCACTTAATTTACAACTTTTATATGCAGAGTCAACTGGACCTGCGTGCATCATTTTCGGTGACCACTTTGTGTCCTTAACTCTGAGCCTGATTTCCTGACGTAACTTAACCTTAATTTGAATTATATCGCTTGCCGCCTACTTCTGTTACACGCGTTGTTTTGTTGCGCTTAGCATTATCGCGTCGATATTTGCAGTTCTGAGTAAAGCTATAGCAACTTCAATTGAACTTAATTTTGCCGAATTTAAAATTGCCCGTATAGTGATTGCATCCGGATCATTAACTAACCCTTTTATTGGCTTAAAATTAAGCAAAGTTTTCCCCTGATATAAGTCTCCAGTTTGGACGCAGTAACCCCCCAACAAAAGTAGATAAATTGTTCTTGCCCCGTGTCTAACTTGGTATGTGTGACTGCAAGTTGCCAGGATAATGCCTTTTAGCGGTTGAGCAAAAGGGCAGTCAGAATAATTGGGTTTTACTTGCTTTTGAGCCAGTCTTCATTTAAGGGTCATTTACGGAACTTGACTGCGTGTCGTTTTCTTTCGTGGTGCGATGCAAATTTTGATACGTTAAGTAAACTGTGTTCCACTTTCCCTCACCCATTTAGCGTGCCCCATAAATAAAAATAAGCACAAAATGTCCGTATTGGTTGATTGTATTTAACCAGAAATTAGTTAAATTATTTTTTGCCCTTAAAAGGTGGGCAGAGGTAGGATTAGACCTATTATAAATTTTCAATATTGCTCGTTATAGGGTTAAAACCCTGGCAAAAGTTATTATCAGCTCAACTGGGCCCTAGCATGGTCATGCGGATAGATCATAACTGTTGCTCAGATACGTTTTAATAGGAGAGTAACTTTAGTTACTTTCGTCATACGTAAGTAGGGACTTAACAAAAAAAGAAACATACATGCACATATGTCAAACTAATAATGACTTATAGAAAAGTGAAGCAAATATCTCGATTTCATATAAAAAAAAAACGGGTATATGGTTCAAGTCTTCTTAGCATTAGAAAAACTAAGTCACCTATGTCTCGAGTATTACTACATCAAAAATGTATGATATCCAGCGTACATTATGTTTGCCATAATTTACAAAACCTCTAGATCTCAAGAAGATTGTTAGATTGCAGAAACGGAATTCTTAAATAGCATACCTTAGCTGCTGAATAAAAACATCTACCTTATTTTTAGTTTTTTCTAGGCGTAATTGATAAAATACAGGTTGTTAAGGTTCATGAATACAAATGTAAAACCCACTAGCTAAGATTTTGCTAGCCTGTTGGATACAGCGCGATGCACCACTAATGAATAAGTTTTACTTACTTGTGTGGAGGTGTTGCATAAAAAATTTCGAACAGGTTCTAGTTTCACGGGTCATCCAGGGTAAACTTTCAAAACTTGTTCAGTCCACTTTAAGTCAGTTGCCGAAAGTCAACGAGGCATACGCACTTTGACCTCATACTAAGTTAAACAACGGCAGCACCAGCTTTCTTGGTGAAGTTTTTAACAATAATAACAAAGTATTCTATTATTTCTGCACATTTGAAAGGCTTGTCGGAGCCTAAATGTCGAAGGTCAACTTGAGTCTAAACTTGTCACTATTTTCTTCCAATCACTATTAACACATCCGTTTGTTCGCTGTGGCTATTCGCACATCACACTCGTTTACAGGAGCCCGAAACAGGACCTCGTAGCTGATTCTCACGTGCTCGCTTACGAGGTCCTAAATAGGTCCGTTGCTGTTGCCGCCCTTCCTCGAGCAACGTAACAGGGCATAGACCTGGTCGAGCAGCGACGTACCCTTTCTGCTCGTGGCTTCTTGCGGCCCGCGCCTACCGCTACGATCGCCTATTCTTATAACAACAGACACAGTAATGACCACCCTTAATAGGGACAGCAGCAGCAGCAGCAGCCAATAACAGCCTGGTACAATCAGTCGGCGAATCTCTCGGCGTTCTCGATGTTGCCAGTAACAATGGTATGGATGGTCATGATCTCCGCCGGAATGAACTGACTTCCGTTTGTTCCTTCAGGCGCTTTTCCCGCCACCACTCAAGCAGCTGGCCAACGCTGATAGTCAATTGCCGATTGCCTGTCGGCTGCAGCATTGCCACCGCCTCTCGCAGGCGGCTACGCAACGGAGAGCTCTTTCGCTCAAACGTTACGCTCACGGCGTTCGTCGCGGCCGATTCCTTGAAGACCAATCAAGAGCGCGCTTTAATCGAGGCGGAGCCAATATGTTGCGCCGCCCAGTGCGCTCACACGGACACCCTGGGAAAGAGCGCATGGTGGAGCGACGAAGCCACCATGTCAACATACGACCGCCGATGTTGAACTGGGTGGGATTTGATGCTCGGCCATGGGCAGCGCGCGAAGATCGAGTCACGGCAGTGGGTCCAGGCTGCTTGATGGGCACTGGCGAACGGATGGGTAAAACCAAGATGGAGAACATTCGACCGAGTGGTGGGAAAAGAAGTAGTAAAGCGTGAGTAAGCAAGAGAATATAAGATTAGTACCTTTGTAAGCTGAGGTAGACATTGAATGTTGGCCAAATCGAAAGAACAAGGGAACTTCATCAAATAGATACAGATAGAGTACTATCGCATATCACCAGACACTGAAACAAACTAGGCTGGTATTAGGATATGGGGATTTTCATAGTAAGATGCTTCTTTAATTAGCTGAACAGACCGAAACTTGTTTAGGGTGTTTAAAAAATTATTGTCAAGTAGCAGTATATTGTAATTTGTGTGTATTTTGTAGTTTATGCGGTATTCCTTTTATTACAGGACCAGCAAAACGATGAATGAGAGAATGGTGAAATCAATGCTTGTATCTTATCATGCTCTTTGCTACATTAAGATTGTTAATGCATCCCAGTGAAGCTACAAGACCAAAATGATGATGATTATTATTATTATCACGATTATAAATATTATAATAATACATCCATTCGTTCAATATATCTTAGTATTTAGTTACAGCTTTCTTGAGAAGATTCCCACGGACTCACTGAAGCGATACGAAACAACTCCAATTTCCCATTGTTATACGTCTCCCTTCAGTTTCTTTTTATGATTGGATATTTATACCGGATCTTGCCAAAATTAGTTATATTGATCTTGCTGAAACTGAGCCGAAGGCCTTGCGTCATTATTATTGTAAACTATATGAGACAATCTTCGCGTTTGACCCAAGATCGACGTTGAGGCATGTCGTGAGGTAACTACGCGAAATCCATCTAAACTTCCGCTGTTAAAATTCCAACCTCGTTATTATTATAATTACCTTGGCTATTCCCCATTGACTAAACCTGTATAGCACTCCAGTCATTAGAAAGAGCTAACCGAGCAGTACTGTGTAATGAGGCCTTCTGACAGTTATCACGTAAATGTCCAAGTTTTATTTCACGGTAAAACAGACGGACGCATCGTCGAAAACTACTCGATGTTTATTTGAATCACCGAAAAACCATTTCTAACCTAATATCGTAACATAGGGACAACATCATTTTGCAAAATCTTGAAAACCCCTTCGACGAAAGATTATAGCGTTTTAGGCCGCTCCTGTGTGTAGCAATTAAACGCCTCAAACGAGACCAAATATCGCTTTCAATCATCCATAGCCTTAGACTTTGCAGCAACCGTTTTCCGTGGCAATAATTATATCGTGATTCAGTTACTGCGTCATATCGATCAGAAATGGCCGTGTAAAGTGGGCTACTATTAAGTGAATTGGGTTATATTTATTACGAATGGTAGTTGTGATGCAATGTGAACGCATTCAGATATGGCTCATTGAAAAATACGTAGAGATACATCAGCTGACAAGATGTAAAACTGTAGAAAGCCAAACACCTGCGAAGGAGGTCAGGTAATGATTTTTTTGTAACGCAAGGATCTAAATCCTTCGGTGACAAAATAAGCCAATGATAGCTGTGGCACAGGTCAGTTATAAAATAGTGCTCAATTAAAAGAAACTACATAGCGTAACCATTAAGTTTACATGGTTTGAAACATTCACTAGCCCAGCATCGAATCTGCGCTCTTCTTTTTACAACTACGAGGCCGTACTCGTGCTCCACGTCAACATCGGGAAATAAAAACTGGTTAAGCATGTTAGCAGCTTACAGAATTTATGTACCCATGGCAAACTGAAACATTTTAAGAAATATATTTAGGAGACTTTTAAAGGTCCTTTCATCGTTAACCGATTTTCACTGAACCTCAAGTGGTCTATAACTTTCGGGGTAGTTCGTGTAGAAATAGGTAAAGTTGATGTAGGTGTACGAAGACTCAAATACGTTCCTAATGATGCCAAGTCTAGCGGTTGTAACCGCAAGCGAATTAAACCTATCACAGTAGAGCTAATGGTCTCTATTGAAAGGCTAATAGGCAGGAAAGACAGGACATGGCTGAAATTCTGCATACAAAACTGATGGCCTTATTCCTAAAAGATGAAGCCGCACTTCAGCTTAAACCGCATACAAAATCATAGCACGGTTAGTAGCCGAACACTTATAATGCGCATATATCCCTCTGGCCCTGATACCGGTGATATATGGATGGTCTCAAACAGAAAAAAGGAAGGGCACAACGCCGAGATTTGATGGCGGCGGATAAATACTCAAAAGGCAGAACGTAGTCAACGAAAGTGGAAGATCGAAACAAAGTCCACTCATGGGATTGTCATGGGTTTGGGAGCTACACGCCTGGGTTAACTGTGGCAAAGCACGCATGCGTGGGAATGTCTAATCTTGGCATGACAAAGGCACCTTCAAAATCAGGGGCGTGAACTAGGTCAACAAAAAATTTCAACAGAATGAGCGAAATGATAGTGAGACATTGGTTCGAAGTTGCAGAAGGAGCGTGACAGCATGTAGAATGGGAAATTCGAATTTAGAAAGAGGAGATTGTCACAACGAGCTAAAGTTCGAATCTTATACGGAAGGAGTTTTCAAAAACTCGACAGTATGTCTACATTTTCTGTAGGCAGAACAGTAGGGCAATGATTTTGAAAATTTAAGATAATTGTCGCGTATCCAGTTGCAAGCATGGACAATGTAGACGACAACAAAAATTCTTACAAGATATCTACGCAGATTATATAGACCAAAACAGCTGTTCGGTTAAAAGTAAAAACTTACCATTGAAATCGAGCATCTTCAAAAAATATAGGTCTAGTACTGCAAAAATACGAGTTTGCTTAATAATAACAGAGTACAGAATTGTATTGCCGGTATATAATTAGACAAGCGTCAACATTTTACAGGAAGAAGATACCCAGCTTGTAGAGAGACCAGCCCTATGTTACCGAATTGATCTCATCAATAACGCCCTTCTAATGACCAGCGAATGAGCTTTCCTTCATTAGCGCCATTCTGACGCACGGAAGTTGTTCGTAAATATGAGATATTATCCGTATCAGATTGTTTGTCATCACCAAATGATTACGGGGCCTCTGGTCTCGCGGCATTGTTTCGTCTCTGCATTGCCACAAAACGATGGATGTACAGGTGAGTCCTTATCGTTCTACCATTTTATCCCTTCGACGATATAACGTTGACCCGTGAGAGCTGCCGCAAAGTGTGGGAACGATTCATTAGCCACAAAAGACGATGTCCAAGCCTGGCAAAATGACTATATTCGTCGAAAGTAGTTATTAGAAAGTTTAGAACAACCTCCTGGTCCTTTTGCGAAGTGATTTTATGTAAAAACTGTGATAAGATGGCAGAAGCTAATCAAGTTTGAAGGTAGCTGATCGAAGTCCTTAAAACGTCACAAAAATTCATACTATGTGCTAACGATGTTATAGTACTTCACCCTGAAAACGCAAACTGTGATATCGTTCAACTTTCGCTTACCTGAAGCTCTCGTTTGTCCTGTTGCGTGACCAGCTAGGTCCTCTAGCAGAACTCGTTTGTTTGAAGCTGTAGCGGGAAGTTAAACTACAGTGTGTTTTTGTACAGAAAGTTCCAAGCCCATGTCGACTGTAACACACAACTTCGGAAACGTTTTACTACGCTTTACTAATTACTATACTAATATATATATACTAGTGAAATAAAGTGATGCAATGCTGAACATCTAAAATCGGCTGTGATCCCCTAAAAATACAAACAACGATTTTCCTTGTCTATACTCCGCCTGTTTTTATTGCAGTTAGTGACTTTATCGAGGTATGTTCTACTTGTTTTAAATGACGTATTTCTTTTTTTTTACTGAATGAGCCCGGAACTATTCAACTGTTGTCCTATCTACACAACCTAACCTGCCACAGGTTACGTACTCCAATGAAAATTTAATGGAGCATGCCTGTATTATACTCATCGAAGCTTTTAAAACTCAAAAACAAAAGAAAACCTGCCAACAACAGCCGATCTAGTTCCATCACCTTGGGGTTCCCCTATATTCTAAAAATTATGCTGTATTTACTTACTATGTTGTATATGTCGGATATTTAGATATTTCCATCGGGGTATCTTCGTTCGGCCGTATTTTTTATCAATTTCTTACATTATTTGTTTTCTTTTCGCGTACGTTGCCTCTAGAGCTTCGTTTATAATCTCCAAGCGTTGCGGATAGGGCAGGTGCAAATCCGACCCCAGGACGTTTTCTTCGTTGGTGTGGTGCCCGGAGCAAATGATTCCGGACATCATGGTGCCAGACCGCGATGTAGCACCACCGACCGGCTGCAACACCAGTCAGTCTCAAAGGTCTCGGGGGTTGAAGTAGAGCAGAAATTTTCGACACAAACGATCGAATTCTTAGTCGCCCCATAACCCCACCTCTGGGGGGTAGCGTTTGTTCTAGTAGGCAGTAGGAGGACCGACCAAGGCGATTTCGACATTGATATAGCTTGTACTAAGAATAGGTGTAAAATAAGGCTGATGTTAGCCAAGATGATTGCGTTTGTTTCTCGAAGAAGATGCAACATGAGTTCGGCGTCTTTGAGTAAAGATAAAGTTCATATCATGCTGACCCTGTTATTGAACAACAGGAAACGTGGCATGCCGGGTAAGTACGAGCTGATTTTTCGCTAAGTTGTCGAATTATCGCTTTCTGAAGGACGAATCAGCTAGTAATTTCAATAACAATAAACAGTGTTGTAATACCAGCGTCAAGATCACTTCTAATAATACGTATGAGAAACAATTTATAATAAACGCATATTGAACACTCTACAAAAAACTAACTGGATTATCCAGAGCCCCCAGCGTTGAATTGCATCGAATGAAGCGTTTGCAAAAAATCATAGAAACCGGACGGTGTTCCTTCCATTATATAAACTATATAGAGGTAATCCTTTTTGTCTCCCGTTATAAACAGACCGTGTGGGCGGTATCAACCAGTTCGAAGTTCAAAATCACCTAAACCTGAAGCTGAACGCCTGACAAACTGAAGGGGCGGCTGCTCCAGACGTTTTAGATGTATGATTGCCTAAAGGTGCTCGTCACCGCTGGTTACCCCCGGTGAGTGGCTGGTGCAAATTATTTATTGGTTTCAATTAGGTACGACTTCTCTAGATACGAATTCATTTAGTGCGGTGAAATAGCGAAACGTGCAGAGTCTACGTGCGTACGACTGAAGACGTAAGTAGCCATGAATCGTCGTAAGGGTTGGAGGAATGAACAATGGCGAAGCTTCAAAGCATTTGAATATTAGTACAGTTCTCTCGATGAGATGACATAATAGATATTTTTACAGCAGGCTACTAATGGAATGGTTAGGGGTCTAAGCTGTAACAAGTGAGAAAGAAATAATTGTATATGTTGTTGTTATTATTATTATTATAGGTATTATATAGATTACAGCCAAGGCAAGAACCAAGGACAACCTGAATGCCGAACGTTAGACTTGATTTGTCAGACGCTAAATCGACCTCAAACGTCTTACGTTGGTTCAATTTTAATACAATTCAGAAGGTGCATTTTCATGTTAGTTTTTTAGTATTTCTAAAACTATCGTTATCTACCTGAAGATAAAATTTCAAAAAGGATCACATACGGTTTTAAGGGAGCGCTTGAAAGCAAAACATTGACAAAAATCGCCGTAGGCGCGTCGATGGCAAAGTTCTGTCTATCGGCTTAATTTGAATTTTTTAAGTGAGTATAGTGTAGTTTATGCAGGTACCTGTGCGAAATAAGCGAGTAACTGTTTGCCGCTCTTTAGAAAATGATATGACGTTATAATCCACTATAAACATGCACCATATTTAGGCCTTTAAATGGGGAAAGCTTCTTTTCGTTGCTGGGCTCAAATATGGTCTTGTTGCTTTTAAACTAACAGTTACCGAATTTCGATCGACATTAGACTCTTTGAAATACTATGTTCCCGCACACCTTTCTGACGGGCTCTGCTAATGATAATTAAGCCGGTGTAACGTTTTGAGCATGCACTACTTTCCTCTTTGAAACAATGATATGATATGATAAAGATTGCTTGAATCTTCATCGGGAATGGATCTGCGAACATCGTCATCGTTATGTGTGTACGTACACTTCAGTTTCAACTTGAACTTCCGATGAGGAGACAAAGATCGAAGTTGTATAGCCCAGCTGAACCACCACGCTATAGAATAACAATCAGTAATGCAAGAAAAGTAACGCCGCTCAAGTGACATTTCCACTTGTTATATATATGCCTGTATAATTAACAACAACAAGAATAACCATATATGATTATTGTTATTGTTGCCGTATGGGTCTGTTCGATGTCCCCACACGAAGCTTATTTATGTATTAACTATCAGTCCTGACTGACACGAAACAGTTAGAGCTAAAATTGTTCGGTGAAGGATACCCAAATTGAAAATAGAGTCATCATAGTAGTCACGGTGTTAACTTGGGCAGAACAATGGATCCAAGACAATGTCCACTGAAAATGGGTGAAGACAGAAGTGGCTTCTGCATGTTTCAGTATGAACAAATCGCCGCGGGGGTAACATTGTGCCCATCAACGACTACCTCCGCTGTGGCCCACACTTTTCCCGCGTCATCGCAAAATTCGCTATATATTGCGACTTCTTCCTCAAGTCCAAGTTATAAACACGAATACGACAACAACGACATTCACCAGCTTAAGTGTGTTTGGCTTTTGCTTGCAGGCGACGTTGAAGCCTCGCGAAGCTGCCTTAGTAGATTTCGTTGAAGAATGGACAGGCATACAGGTGAAAATGTTCGACGCTGGCCGGATGCCTACGCGTCAGTTGTCCTGATGCACTGAACGCGGAGACGAGCAAGTTACTCTTAAGGCCGTGTGAAAGTTAAACCTAAATGCCGTGTATTGCGTTTCTAATCCAATAGGATTTGGTAGTCATGATCATAGCAGCAATATATCCAAAAAAGACAAACAACTCGATCTTAGGAATTGATCTCCTCAAAAAACGAAACTAAGTCCCCCTATTCATTAAACGTAGGCCTACTCTCGTGAGACTAAAATGTTCAGAATGAAAATGAAATGAATTGCTGGTGATTAAAAGTTACATAAACACGTATCTAACTCGTGTCTGTGCACGTCACATTTGTGATAAGTGACAATCTAACAGGCCAGTAGCAGTCACACGTGATCGTATAGTAATAGTGAGCCGTGAAAAAACAACCCTCATACCAACCGTAATCGGGAGCGTTTTTCCCTATTGGTTACAGACAATCTTGCCGCCAGCGATACGGTACGTTATCATTGACTCGACTGACGGCGTAGCTGCAGAGGCGCTTTTAAGTTTGTCGTTCTACTTGTGCTCGTGAATATTTCTGTATTCGCCCCCGTCTATGTATCCTGATATGGCTGGACATGGACGAATCCAAACTCTCGCCCCGGCAGCAAACGGCATGTTGTTGCCACTGCTGATGCAGACGCCGTGAGCGAGGTGACGTGTGAAGTACTTTTCGCAGGCCTGCGGAACCAATCGAAGCCCGAAGCTGATAGATGCGCTGTAGTGCCAACGATGACGACAATTTGGACACGGGTAGAAACGGGGCGAACAAGACCTCCTACCCGAACGAAAGCAGTCATCGTCAATAGGCTGACAAGCGTCACACAACCGAGACGATTAAAAGAACGAGAGAGAGGACGTCACGCATGCTCTTCTCTCCCATCTGTTGTTGTTGTTACCGTCGTTGTTACTGTCGACAACCTGAAGCTGACGGCCAGAAGGATGATGTCGGCGATGACAGGCTGGCCGCCTACCGAGAGAACAATGGGAGAAGGTGAGGGAAATGAGGAAACAATTCGGGAGTCGTGGCTCAGAACGGATGGCATTTGGCCACGCGGCAGTGCAGCTGTAGCAGCAGCAGCAGCAGCAATAACAATAACGGCGACAACTGGGCGGTAACAGGAACGAGGTAAACAGGTGATGAAGAAAATGATCCAGTGCGAAAGGAAAGGCCGATGACGACAGCGAGAGCGGTGTCGCTTGGATGGACATATCTGAAGATCCGAACTGAGAGGGACAGAAAGCCGAACGGGACGAAATGGTAAAGAAACAGTTCGCGGTGCGCGACTCCGCCAAGAGCTAACAAGAATTGCTTTAACAGGTGCAGGAACGTAGACAGTTCGCAGGTCAACGACAATAGCTACAACAGTGGCAGATAGATGATGGTGCCGTAGTATCAGTGGCGGCAATCATGGTGGAAATGACAACGAGACAACTGTCAATAATTACGAAGTAACAAGCTAAAGTCGGTAAACAAAGAAAAGTAAGTTAGAAACGATAGATACAGATCACCTCTACGTGGATCTCGCTTATGCAGGTCAGGTAGAATAGCTTATGGGTGAGATTGGTCTCACTGAATTGGTTTCTTTCTCGCAAGCTGTGCTTGCTCTCGCGGCCATTGTAACGTGTGGATATTTTGACTGGCCGTATATAATCGACTTTCGATTAGGTATTATTATTTAAACAACGAGGGATTAAGTTGCTAGTTCTAGATTCAGGTTTGATCCTTAGACGAGACCCTTACAGCCCTCTAAATGGAACACATAAACATTTCTGTGGAAGAAATATCACATCGTCATCAGAGAATTGGCCAAACATATGATCGTTAAAACTTAATGGGCCCTCGTAAGTAATGACACAGATTCCGTAGGATCTTCTTCAGCACTCCGAAACCATCGGCGATAGTTTTCCATTGCCACAATGATTCTTCGGAAGACTGTTTAGAGCATAGCAAAATGACGAATTTAGACAGATTTGATTGCTCCAATCTCTGTAATATATTGGGAAAAAAAAAGCACCAAACAAATAGCAAATAAGTGTGTATTGTATGCGTTTCCATAGGCCTGAGTCGATTAGTTTGTTCAAAAATGTGAAGCAGATCTTCGTAGAAGATAACGTATTCTATGTATCGTTATAGTTGAAGAACTATAACCGTGTGCATACTAGAAAAACCTCTGACGATATGATGGAGCTAATAAGACAGCGTGATCCACAACACAAAACCACACAACAAAGCTCAACCATTAAATGAGCTACTATGATTATTATGATATTACATGCTATGCAGTGATTTGGATAGAGATGGGTCCGTGTAGTTCGGTTTCATTGGATAAACTTGCGAGGCGTCCGAAACAGATGCTCTAGCGATGGCATGAAAAGCGCTCGATTGATTTCAGGTGGTCTTGAAACGTCTAAAGGCTGGGCCGAAGTTTACCGTTTTATAGGAAATGTCAATATGCACAACTAAGATCTATCTAGAGTATCTAGCCAGCAGAAGTGTTTAATGTGTTTAAGTATAAAAATTCGAAATACGAAAAGTTAGCGAGCTTCTTCTCATTTGTCGTTTTCCTGACATTTCAAAATCGCTTTCTTATCCGTCGGACTATTAAACTCGGCCTAGCTGAACATTTTTCTCAACAATTTGGTGACAACAGTTGCGATGCCTTCGTAAAGATTAACAGTCGGTCCGGCTACGGAGAAAAAAATTGAAAGTGCTTTAAATATGGACAAAGCGGTGAAAGAAGGCTCCTTCTTCGATTGTAAATATTTCGGCACTGTAAATACAGGTAGGCATTTTTTCCCCAGCCATTTTACCGTACGCTTCCTGCTTGTAGAGTACATTAAAAAACGACAGTTATCAGAAAAACAAACGACCTCTATGGCTGCCATTTTTACTACTGATACTTGTTATTGCTATAACAGTGTTGTGTTGCTCTATCGGCCTCCCTCTACTGTGCCGATCAGCATTATTGTCAAGCGGCTTTCAGCAGCTCGAACCCCTTTTTCCCTAGCTTCTCATGAGAATGAGAAGCTTACTACGAATACCGTTTTCTGTTCACACACACACATTGTACTCATATATATATATATATACCCTAACACAGCCTTCAGTTGTTTGCGGGTGCCGCCACCTACCTTATCACAACAAAATAACTATCGCACAAGTTTAAGGATCAAACTCGACGCCACCGCTGCCCTACCTGCGTGGCAACAGCTCATTTGCTGACACAAGCTTGATATTAAAAAATAGAAAGAAGATTATTGATTTTGGTTTTCCGCTCTGTTACATAGATACTAATGGAGATTTAATGGGCTGCAAAATGCTACTAACTCTCTCAAGACTTAGCTAATCCACTCATCACTTTGACGTATGATGATGAAGGAAATTAAGTCTATGGAAATTTTAAACACTTAATTTTTGTATTTAGCAACGCTGTCGTTATTCTCGAAAGTATCACATATTCTTTTACATGTAGTATATGTCTTGCCGCCAGTGGTGCCTATTTGTACGTCTAGCGACAGGGTCTGTTTTTAATCGAGGCGCGTAAATCTGATGACGTCGGCCAGGGGCCGACTCGATCCTAGCACGTTTGTTAAACATTTGTGCACAGACAGTACAGAACAAGTCAATTTAGCCAACTTCAAATATAAACCAAAGTCCGATTCGAATACTTCAGCAACCGATAAAGCAGATCGCCTCTTGTACGCCAAACGATATTCGCCCTAGTAATATCAAGCCATTTTTTTTACTTATTATACTTATACATTTTTTTTAATTACATCGATTTGTTCCACTTTGAGCGCGACACATATTGACTGGGACCTGAGTACTTACCGCTAACAACAACGCTTCGAAGTTCTAGCGGGCGCTCTAGCCGTTCGTTTAGCACCAATATCGTATGTGTGTTCCTGTAGAAACCTTGCTTCCAACCGTGACAAGTATCAATTAGTTGTGTATGTATAGTTATTATTCAATCGACTGATATCGTGTAAGTAGCAGATACCGTAATAAACGTATTATGTTGACACACAAAACACGCGCGAGCTAATCAGTCGCTTGAGAACACCTATATGGAAGAGATGATAAGCCCTGCCGTGAAGATGTAACGACGAAATTCAATGATACGCTGCATAATACGATTTTAATTATAATACGTTGAACGGTATACTGTAATGGTAGATGATTACTTAATAAATAGCCGTGTGTCAGATATCGGATAGAGGATCACCGTTGGACGACGAGCTCGACGAAGCAAAAACTCAAGCATTTACATGTACGTAACCACTAGTAGCCTCAATAGTATACATAGAGATCATAGAATTTAGTAGAACCGACCGAAGCGTCAATGGAACTCGGCTTTCGCTTTATTTCTGACAGCGATAAAAGAAAGATGGCTCTTGTCAGAGCGGACGAACTACGAAACGAACAGAACGCCTTCATCATAACCATGTTTCAACTGGCGCTGACATCGGCGCAGATTATTAACAGCAAACTGAAGATGTTGAATGGCCGTATTTACTTCTAGGCAAAGGTAGATAACAGTTATGAAGTAGAAGACTTACTTACGCAACCGTCGGCATCGATCTGGTCATCGGCCGTTGATGTCTTCAGGAAATGTCAGACGGGCTATTTCAGATTCCCTTCAGTAGACCATAGTAATGGCAGTTGTACCTTGAAGGATCGCCGTCTGTCTGAATTAGAGGGGTACACGTACTGTACGTCACTGACCAGATGGGAGGTTTCACTCCTCAACCGTGCTCGTTAATGGGGGAGGATTTACCAGGGCACATGTTTTTTTCATAATTCGTTGACAATTTACTAAATTAATAATCATTTGATAAATGCGCCAAAGCCATAGATAGGCCTACGGTATTTAAGAGTTTCGCCAGGTAGGGCAAGCGGCCTTGGAGAGAATCTTGCGGGATTTGCTATTTGTAAACAAATACAGCAAGCATATACAACTAATTTTGTGCTGCCCACAGATGTAGCAGACTGAATTACTCGTAATATCAATGATGAAAAAGCAAAGTTTTTAAACAATCAATGGAAATTTATTATTACAGTATTTTGTTTATGTAAAATGTCGCATGAGAATCTTGTCCATTGTGTTCTTATGACAAATGGTTATGGGACATTATCTTGAGTCACGTGAAGACGGGTTGTCTGATCCTCTTGGAATCTTGACCCGTTTGTCCGTATTGTCATTTGTCACCTACTACTATGTACGGTGCAGGGTTCAGCTGAACTTTATTTAGTATGTGTAAACTTCTTCAAGGTATAATAAAAAATAATTCGTTTTAAAATAGAAGTTTAATGCCCACCCCGAGAGGCAGTCTTCGCCAACAGCTAGGGCTGTACAAAAATTGTAAAGAATATAAAAAGTGTGCCGCACATCGTGATACCTGTCAAAAGCTATACTTGATGTTATCGAACGATCGTCATTGATTCACCTAATGAAACCCATGATAGTTGTTCCCAGTATAAAATCACATAGAGAGGATTTTTCTATATTATGCTATCTTCTATAATATGCTAATGTTCATATATAATATGATTAAAATACAATAGTATAAAAGTTTTTGGTAACGGACTTTTATGATCCGCTCTTCTGCATATCTGCCGGGTAAAGGCTGGCAGTTTAAGAACACTTATATACTTAGCTAACACTTGATGAATCGGCTGACCAGTTGCATGATAGAACGGTAAGTTCCCTGTTCCATTCGTGCGAGGTCGCGGTTTTTGACAAATTTCAGTTTTTTTTTGGAAACGTTCATATTCATTTCTCGTCTGCAATGCGAGAGTGTCGTATTATTGCCAATACCATCCGCTATCTAGTTCAACCGTTCACTAAAGTTACTCATTGATTTAGCCTCAAGTTTAGATAATTATTTAGCTTAAGTTACTTGTCTATTAATACTTGCCTTATGTTCCGCTGTGCAAACGCTCGTAGGTTCACGAACAAACTGGTGCCATTTCTGTTCCATGAACTTTAACATACAGTTGATTCATAGCCTTGTAGCAACAGTATTTAAAATTAGTATTGTCGTTGTTACCTGGATAAATATGCCGCTTATTCAAAGCACGGATCTGACTGGAAACATTTGCGTCGAACGCTCTACGATTCAATTACCGTTCAAAGAGACGTACGGTGATGTGAGAAGCAGGGATTAAGCATACTCTCTAGGTCATCGACTCGTTCCCAATGGATGATACCGCATGACTCGATAGACTAGCGACGGCATCTACAATGGCGTAGATAGGAATAACCACAGTAACAGTCAACCAATCCCCCTGCCGCCTGCGAACGGAACAGTCGCGTCAACGTTTAGTGGTGCCTGGATCACATTTGAATGAACAAATGAATAGGAGGCGAGACAAGGTATAAAAAAAGCAATTTTTCAAAAACTACTATATACCGCTACATACTCTCGTTTGCTTGTGTAGCAGCAGCAGCAGCAGCAGCAGTCATAGTAGATCTTGAGTCTCTCACCGAAAACCGCGGCAAATCATACGGCGATAAACGATTCTGCTACGCTCGATACGCTATCGTTACGGCGTCAAGCTGCTGCCACCGACCAATTCAAAGCTGACGAAGATTCGAAGCCACTCCTCAGAGCTAGGCCAGTCAGAGCGGGTGGCGAATCCAATCACACGAATGATTCTTTTTCAACGCGTGTCTTCCTTGTTGTGTACCAATTCTCTTCATTTTCCATGGTGGTCTTGGCCGGCACAACAGTAGACAGTGGTGATATTGACGAAGACTCTTCTTCTGCAGGATATCGTCGTTGCCCCTGATGCTGCTGCTGGCCGATTCATCGATTCGTCACCTTTCGGCGATGTCGTTGATCGTAGCCATTCCGACCCCGTTGTTGTTAACGTGGCCACTGTTACTTATGCTCCTGCCGACGCTTCTGCTGCTGTTGTCATGGTCGTTTTCAATTCATTGAGATTTTCCGCTTCGTAAATTTAGGCGGCACCAGCAGTCACTGCCGTTCAACTTCGTTCGAATCGTTGTAACTTTCAAATTGTTCCGTTGCTGCTGCTGGCCGAATCAGCCGCAGCAATAGCTATAGCCATGATGTGGTATTGTGAAGCTACTCGGCAGCTGTCATCCGCGTTATTCGTATTGACTCGCGACCTACTGCCTGTAGTTGTATTTGTCTGCGTGTAACTGTATGTACCTAATCGACGTACAGTGGTCCGGTAATGATAAAAAAAAAAGTAAAAATAAACTGTATATTTTCTTCGCAGCGCTTGTTGTTGTGTAGAGATGAAATTTTGACCGATTTTCTACGCCTGTTGCAGCGGTTCGTGATGGTGAAATGGATGCGCGAACCCAAACAGAACGAGGACCGAGACGCATGTTCGACGTACTCGTATATGGAGAAAAAACAATATGTGCAAAATTATCACATCCTCATTATTAACGTGAACAGCAACAACCGGAACAGGGATTGGCCATAACAATCATATGAGTGAAACAGAACTGTTTAAATGTATGACCGCCATCATCGTCGCGCAGAGCAGACGACATCGTACGCTACAAACGAAGAAAACATCCTCAATGTACTATGGAATGAAGAGGGCAAACAGCTGTTTTATACTGTTATTTACAGCATTTCTATAATAAAGGGACTACGTATAAAGATAGAAACGATTCTAGAGTAGCTGATATAGGACCAAGGACCGATAGAAAATAAACTAATCAATAGTAGTAGCAGCAGCAGCAGCATGTGGGATGTTGGTAAAGCTACCTGAAAATTGTCAATAAAGCTTAACAATGTGTTCTGGACTTAGATTAGGACAAGGTTTTTCTTTTTATAAAAGCAGCTATGACTTCTTAACACGTGCATCAGAAAAACTGCTTTTTCTTTAACGACCAAACTTGATTTATGATCAGAGGGTCAATTTCCGCTATAGGTGATATATAGGAAGCACGTATGATAGGGTAGAAAACGTACAAATAGGTTCATTTGAAGCTATACAACGCAAGCCCTTCCCAAGATCAACTTGATAAACAGCTTATATGTGAATCGAGCTAAGATAACTTCTGAATGTTATCTGCTCCTTAGGCAATCGATACGATCGGAAGGACCCTTCGATCGGAAAAAGGTTACAGCCAACGTGATCATCTATTGTCCATATTTTAGGATAAATAATCGAAATTTCATTACTCTAGCTATCTAATGCCATTGCATTGTTTAGACTTCCGGCAATACTTCAGAGTTAATGAGTGCATAGATTCATCTGTGTGCTTCGCCAGGTCGCTTGCAAGCAACTAGTGTATCATAAATGAAGAAGTCTCTATTAACAGCGTAATTGCATAGACCGGGTGTTTCGTAAACTAATCCTGCCGCTTGTCACGGATACAAATTATTAACAAACAGTGTTAGACAGTGCATTGATATTTTTTAAACAACATCTTGTCTACGGAAAGGTTCTTGCAGCTTAACATCCGTAGTATAACATTGCGCGGTCGTCTGAACTTGAGACTAGCGTTATTTAACCTTATACCTTTATACCGTTCGAAATAGTGTTAGTTTAAATAACATTCCGATCGATAACATGCGCACACTCCCTTGTTCACTTTGGGCATAAGTAAATAAATAAATGCTTTTCAATCATTTACTCGTTTATTTTGTTGGCACGAATAACACAAACGGCACCTCGAACGAAAACGCCTCGTTTGAGTTTTCACCTTCCGAACGAAGCGCGTATTGTCTGAGAGGTTCTTCGATTATTATCACATCAAACTGATGATCAATGGTTTAGGGGACGGCAGGGCTCCTTCAAAACACCACAGTGCACTGGGACATTATGTTGTAACTGAGCGTCGACAATTGCGCATTAGAAACAGCGTAATTATGCAGCAATTAGCTCATTTAATGAAATTATTAAAACATACTTTTTTTTTTATTTTATTAGGAGTTAGATGAAGAAACCCCTCTTCACCTGCGTTAAAATAGATGATAGTGAAAAGTGAAGCTTTTAAGTTTAAAGTAATTTTGAACTTACAGTTTAGTTACCCATGAATTTTGAAATGAAGGCCGCAAATTTGGCGTTATTGGCGTAGAGCTCAAATTCTAATTCGAGAAATACTCTCCGAAAGCTAAGCGACATATTGAGGTACGTTTTCATTGTATCATAGCATACTCTTTTCTCCTTATAATCAAGCAATCTAGCGGAATTCGAGATGGTGCTAGTTCAGCTGACTTGCTATTTACCTAAAGGTCCGCGGAATTTCGACCTAAGATTCTAATATAAGGGCCCCTTTTGCGATCGGATCTGGATTTCAGGTCATTGAATTAATCAAATTTCGACGCCCCTATCTGTCCTTATCTGAACCACAGTAATTCCATTTTACCAGCATATTCGAGCTTTAAAAATTTTCAGAGTGTCCACTTTTAAATTAAAGCGTCCTGTATTTCTAAAATAGACTCATAAAAGCATACGAAGCGTTCAGTCAAAATAGGAATCAGTTGTGGCTGCTTAATTAATCCACTATGAATTTGAATTTCTGATATACCCAAGAGCGTGAGAATCTGTCGCAATTGTTACATTTACATTACAAAGTAATTTTTGTGGTTCATAGTTCCTCTAACTTATGTTTCTCTTATATTTAGAATATTTTAATCTTAGGACTAATATATGATTAGTTTGGTGTTTGCGTTGTGTGATTGTCATGATTTGATGCGCCTCATCTATCGCAGTTTTAATTCTAGAAAGACCCGTCTATGGATTATTCGATCCCACTAAGATCTGTCTGTAATGGGGATCTCGGTGCGCACGCTGCTATCTGTCCATTAGATTTTCATATTCTTTTTGGCTAACCCTTAGCTTGAAATGCCTCTCGACTTCCGTTTCTCGAATACATACAAACACTACGATGGAAACCAGGACGTCAATGCGCTCACCTTTTCAGCCACGCAGCCTTCACAGGTACTTCTCCAGCTTTACCTCATTCTGTCTTTACTGAACATACTCGATTTAGGCTTAGCGAAGCAATTTCTGAGACGAAGCATTTGTGATCAGAAGTTTTTGCATTGCGAAAAGGAGAAACGAGGATAACGCAGAGATTACTCGTAAGAAAAACTGGTACAAACTCACAATATTATTAAGCATTTTCGTATCTTCTGGAGCACGCATTGCGAGTATAATGTTTACATATTTCGAGGGCGGTGACTTGTTCAATAGCACGTTTTTTAAATAAATGCCCTATAAAATACGTTTTTAATTGTGTGTCATTTCTGGTCGTTTGTTATATGGTCTGCTGAGAAGCTGGCCAATCGCATTTAAACGAACGTGCTTTATTCAAACTTCTAACACGTAAAAAATGCACACTTCAAAGTGCTCCAAACCGTTAAAGTATGCAAATACTATAAAGTGATTCGAATCTAAGATGTATTTATAGTAGCAGCTTAGTAAGTTGCAGATAATTAAGAAACATTCTAAAGCATATAGGAAAAAGCCCGGCAACAATTTTTTTGACCACAGCATCCTAGCTAACGCACTAAAATTAACTTGGTACCTAACACCTGCTTTTATATAGCTACTTCCATATTTTGAGACATCCCAAAAACTGTAAGAAAAATCGACTGACAGCCAATATCGAGTGTGTGATACGAAGTATTCTTTATGGTCAACTTTGTTTTGGAAAGCGACCTTAGTAAATAATCCCAGAATTGATATATCTATATAATCAGCTATTAGGTAATACCAATATACGCAAGGATACAAAAAAAAGCCTATTCTAGAATATATATTTATGTAAATTCGACTGAATTTCATGAACAAGCAAAACGATTAGAAAGCTCTAAAAAGTATGTTCGAGGTGCTACATAAGTAAGAAGTAATAAGCAGCATTTAGCAGTATCTCAGTGGACTTAACTCAGGTGCACTTTAATGAAGCTGATGAGTGCTGAGAAGATTTTCCTTCGAAAAGTGAAAAAAAATCTTCCACTCAATTTTGAGCATAAAACACTTGGCTCTCAAAACCCGCAGATGATGGCACTTTAGCTCAATTCTTTCTTGTGAGATGTCTTAACTGTAAAATAATGTCAATGACTACGTATTGTTTATAGCTATATAAAAGCTATGTTACTTGTTGTTAACTTGTTTCCTTTCTTCTTCATATATAATACGATACGCTCCAGCTAGTCTGGCCATGGGCGTGATTTAAGCTCAAACTGGTGATTATTCCCATTATATGTCATACATCGTAGGCTAACCGTGCATCCTTACCTTTCATCGTCGTTTTGTTGTAGCCTTTTATTGAATTTTTCGAAGCTATCATAATTTGTTTTGCGAGTTTCATCTTGCTTTTCAGCGAACCTTGAAGCTTGACTGATTTCCTAGAATAACGAAGTTGTGCTCGCAATGGCGTGAAGTCTGTGTTCCAAATTGCTAAGACATGAAGATGCAGAATTTTGTAGCAGTGGTAGTTTTATCTCTTATCGTCAGTGCCACATTTCTCTCTGGATACAGCCAGCTTGTGGGCGGCCCACGGCATGGCTTCAAAGGACATCCATATTATGAGCAGGAAAAACTCGGAATGCGGATGGCAGGCCGACGAGTCGTGAAGCCAGTGGGGCCTCTCGGCTATGCCGAACTGCAGGCCGTGCTTCTTGCAATGGCCGTCGTCCTAATGGTATCCTCATGTTTGGCCTTCGCTTTCGGCCTACTACACGAACATGAGATGCAGGAGCATCCTGGTAATGGGGATCCTGCCAACATGTTATTCGCCGAACAGGCATGTAAACAAACACACAGTAAAAACCTATGTGCATATACACATACAATATCCTCGGACACTTCCGTGTTCTTCTTAATGCGAACAGTAGTGGGAATATTATTTAATAGTGTCAGTAAAACGGAGGATCCTGACATAACGCTTAACGGCTTGATAATATAATTGGGCGGTATAATTCAAAATATTTCTTGGCGTGGAGAATACAATAGAAATTTTGAGAGCAAAGAAGAGCTCGACAGAACTATGTTATGTGATTTTGGTTTGGCCAATGTTTGGTTTGGATATAAATAGTGAAATAGATGTGGTACAACGTGGTCGATCGTCACGCAAGCAGTCCATCCAAGGCCCCGAAATACAAAACAAAAAGCGGTCTTTGTTATTCGTTTCTGACAGGAAATGTTAAGATTTTTAGATATGATAGCTGTGTTCCAACTTCATCGTCTGCACAGTTTTCAAACAAATGCTCTCGCAGGTCCGAGCGCGAAATCTAAAACATCTAAATCCACATCAGTAGCTTTACTGATGTTTAACGGCGGCGTTGGACGTGAAGCTACGTACACATTTTACATAACCATTTCGGTTTTCGTTTCCTGACAATAACTTTACTTATAAAGTGCTTGATCTATATTGGAATGTAGAATATCCACAGATAACTTAACAGTTTTGCCTTCTCACTTATATGAACTATTAAATATTAACGAGTAACCTGTTACAAGCAGTTTTGTTTTCATAAAAGGAATTCGGCATTTGTTTTAGGCAAAAGATCCAATCGAAGAACCAAGCGGCGATCGAAATAATGATGCGGAATTCGATGGAGATAACGGTATCAGAGAGCGTCGGGGATATATCGTTCGATAGAAACTACTATAATTAGAAAAAATGTCAAAATTAAAAACTCTAAAAATAAATCGATTAGTTTATGTTGTTTTGACAATCTTTGTTTAATATTATGGCATCAATTCAGTTTATGCCTACAGATAATTGGTTCAAAAGAAACTACAGTTTCTATCCCTATAAATATTAATAAAGTAGCACTAAAAGCCGGGCACTCTACGTGGTTTCTATAGAACCTATAGAACAATAGAAACAGTTTAATCATATCAAACAGAAAAAATCAATGAGAGTATGCATTTCAAACAAAAAAAATTGAAGGCCCGATGGTTTTAATGTTTGCTCGCAGGGGGTGAAAAGCTTTGTCCAGGTACATAAAGGAATTACAATGTTTCTCTTGTAGTTGTTTCCTATGTCTGATCTACAGATTAAAGGTCGCCAACAGCTCATGATACAATCTATTAACATCCCCTATTGAAGGTTAATAGACTTACTGGTGAACGACAATATTAGACCATGAAGCTGTTCATTACATAATTTGGGAAGTGTAATAAGGAGTTTTTTCCTTTAATTATTTCAATAAATCATATCATATTTGCTTGATTTGGACGTTCATAATAGGTGCAAATATTACGACCCTAATAAGGCAAAACATGAGTTTGTGGGCGGTTCGCAACACGTTTCTATCGCTGACCAATCATGAAAAGTAGCTAGTGGTTATCAATCATTCTTTGTTTTCTTTCCATCTTTCTAAATGGGTGATCATATCGTAATAATAGGAATGCGCGTGGTGTCTTCATTTTGCTAGTCCAATTAACCTCATTCAATCATCATAGAGCATAGTACAACAATTTTTTTTACCTCCAAAATGTACTGCGTTAAACAAAATTCTCTTCCATCGATCAGATAGCTATTCAGGTTAGTAAATGACGAAACAATTTTTGGTTTTAGACTGTGCATCATTTTATTCCAACATGACTGCTATCGTGCCGCAATTCGAAAAGCAACCTGTGCTTTTTGCCTTCAGTATCGGTCATAATTATTCAACTGCTCGAAATTATGACGGACGATTGACTATAACACAAGCTCAAGATTGTTGGAAAATGAAACGGCAAACATCTCCCCGAAAATAAAAAGCATTTTTCGAATTCTGAAAGAAATGCTCGCAAACAGATCTCCCTATGGGTCAGCGGCGTTCCATATAAGAAACTCCTAATATAATCCCAAGAGAAAAGCCTCTTTAGCTCGGGCGGTCGTGGCGGCTATGCGACGGCACTTCCTAGGACAATTTAACGACCTCTGTGTCTGCACTATACGATCAAAGTGCGCTTGGGCCTCATTATGATGCAACCATACTCTGAATTTCGAAACTTTTATATATTAAGTATAAAAGTTACAAAAAAAAATCGATTAAGATATATTTATATGCACATACGGACTTTAGCCTCTAATTTATTCCGGCACAAAAAACAAGTCTTTATGGCGAGACACATTTTTCGGAATTTGAACGATCGTCTGTTTTTATACAATTTTTAACCCTACGCGAAGTGTCAACGAAATTAGAGAATTACTTTTTGCCTGAAAACGGTCGTTTGCATTACTCTTAGTTTTCATGCGACCTCTGGAATATCCAAGGAAAATTTCCATGAGGCAAATCGAGAGAGCCTCAATGGGGTACAGATTTGCAGGATTCAAAAACGTGTCAACATGACTCGTTTTTGCATTTTTCCTGCAGAAATGAACTTGTTTGTCAGGAAGAAAATACCAGTTACCAATTAACCCTGCCAGATAAGCTCTAATCGTTACTCTTCTCTATATCTTTTACGGTCTCTTTTTGAACCATTTCGACCGTTTGATTTTTTGAAGTTGTTGACCTGCTACCAGCCCAAAATTTGCTTCCGCTATTTTTTTTTTATGTAACGGATTTCAGCGACGTTTGAAGGAGTTTGCACCTATTAATATCTCTTGACACGAGTTTATTATTAGAATGTTGTTGTATATTAAAGAAAGGATATTTCGAAAATGATCAGTGATTGAAGAACTGGGTTTTTGAATTGAAGCAATGATGAGCTGAAATTTAGGCAAATGTAAAAAATTTCTATGACTCTTTTTAGTACAGTTTTTTTGAAACAAAGCATAAAAAATCGGTTTCAGGCGAGGCAGCATATACACATATAACCGAAAGTTATATATATATATATAACTTTTTCCTTTTTAACTTTTCAGTGTTTTATGACTTTATTTATATATTCAACTGCCCTACCATTTTCTATCTAAATGCGTTTTGGGAACAGAAGACAACTATGCAAATAGGCATTTGCACCTAATTAAATATGAGAACCTAGTTGATGTCTCAGTGTAAACAGTTTGGTAGTGGCACGATCACTTGCACACACATTATTTACCATGTCATCTTTCAACTTATAAATGATTAACTTCCAGCTCCTTGTGCAGAGGATTATTTGTCGCCGAGCTACTTGTTATTATCGTCGTCAGTATCTAAACTTAAGGATGGTAGCGATGCACACATGTTGGGTATATCTTAATATTTACTGAATATAAAAAGTCATAAAATGAGTAACGTGGAGCAATGTTGAAATACATGTGTCACCTGAGCTAACATCTAGCCGTCTAAGTGAAGACATTGTTTACTTAATAACAGTTAACAATATTTATTGTTTTCGCATGTCGTTGGAGGCAATTTTTATGGTTTCCTCCACATGGGCATGGAACAGGTTCATTCCGGATAGTTCTGCAGGGATGCTTCAGTGCTTCACGGAAGTACCTACAGTGCTACTGTGCAGGTAATGTATGGCTCTGCAAGCGATGTCCGTAGAAAACTAGATGTCGCGTTAAGCGACTTGTTCGTAGAATCCCGGTGTCGGACCCGGCCATTAATAGGACTTAGGGGTCCATTGGGTTGACTCTGGGCTGTGAAGTGGGCGATGCACATAGAATGGGGGAAAATTTTAGAATTCTTCAGCAGCCGCTAACCATCCAGTTTCCCGAGTCGCGCCAGAGGGTTGGTGAGATCCCAGCGACTCTTGTAGAGGATCTCATTGGAGCGGGTTGACTTCGATGAGTTGATCGAATTCAACGAATTCTGGCTGCCATGGAAGCTTTTCGTTGATGAAGTCGATGAAACAGAAGAGCTTGTTGAACAGGTCGACATGTTGCGGCTCCTCGTCGGTTTCTCCTCGACCAGGAAGAGGTTGAAGTTCTTCATAATGGGAACAAGAAAGGCCATCTTGATGTTTGCTGGATTTTGAAGTCGCTTTTTTTTTAGATGAGGTAAGCTCGAGTAATCCTTAGAGACTGTTGAGCGAATTGTGATACGTTTATTTCGAACCGGCTTTTATATTTACTCACGACAGTGACCACTGCCCTTTCCAAACGGCCGCGACACTCAAAAGAAGGAGTACAGAGACACCAGTCTAGACACATGTTGCCTCGCTTTTACCGCCTTTTACCATCTTTGCCGCCATCAGTGGCTCTGATAAGACACCCAGCACCGTCAACGCCTAGGCTATCGCCATAGCCGCCGCTGCGTCCGTCGGTGATCACAAGAGCGCCTGTCGGCGGAGATATCGTCGCGATCTAAATGCGCAATTTTGAAGAGTGTTAAGCGTCTCGACGATCTTAAATGGCGAGAAGGGTGACAGGACATGGTTCAGGACCTATGGCGGTAGAAATCAAGTCGCCACCTCACTATAGATCGTCGCTGGCCTAGCTGTCGTAGGACTGTGGTTTGTGCCGGCCGCTGCGAACAATTGGAATAGAAGACAAGGGCAGTCTATTAAACTGATATGATGGTTCGAGATGCGCTTCATGTTTTTATCGACTATATAAATCTAAAATATCGTGTCGTACACGTTATCCATGATACGCTATATTCAGCTCAGCGTCTGGGCGATGTAACAGAGCAGCCCTACTTGAACGGCAGACACGTCCAAATGGATAGTATTAAGAAGTGCCTGCCTCATTGATTGAAGACAGCTTCGATGATTTCTTTTTCTATAATTTCAAATGCAACGGCTTGTTTGTATCTAGGCGTAGCAAATTGAGGACCAACAAGAAGTCTGCTACTCGCTTTGTCTGGTAGGGCTGTTACCGAGCGGATGCTCTTTTGTCGAAGAGGAAAAAGGCTATCGGCTATGCATTTAAATTCAACGCTGCACGTAAATATCGACATCGAGACACGATAAAGTCTATAAGACATTGATAGACACGAACATCACTTAAAAGGCTCTTTCTGGGCACTGTATTTTTTGGGATAGTCTACACAGAAGAGTCAAGAAAAATCCAGTTAACGCTTTCGTTTGGGTTGGGTGCTGCCATAGTGAACCGGACAGCTCCTTTCAAACCAATATGTGTTGATACAATTAGGTAACCAAAAGCTTATTTTAACCAAAACGCGCAAAATACAATATTATGATATGATACTAAGATTACGATATGGTGGAGTATAGAAAAATGGAATATTTGTTTTATGAAAATCACGCACTTACGCTGTACGATATTTTTACAACATTTAAAGACGACATATTTTGTTTTCGCTGGGCATAAAGCCTTCGGTTGGCTTATTGCTGGTACTCACGTACCTCAAATTTACACAGTATAAGCCAACCCAATATACACCAAGCTACTATGACAGGATTCCAGCTAAGACGCCTTTGAAGTTGCAAATAATTGCCCATGCCAATATTTGATTTAAGAACCTCTTTACATGACAGGAGTAGCCGGAGGCATTAAAAAAACTTGCATAAAATACAGGTATAAATGAATAACCGGTAACTTCTCTGTATATATGTTAGTTTGCCCTCATGGAATGATAAGTAAATGCTTAAAAATTCAAATCATTTGTACATACCACGACCCTAAGTTATTCCTAGTCTACGTATGGCGTACATGCTTGTGAACTGAATATGCTTTTGATTACTAGACCATAGAGCAAAAGTCCATGTTAGGTCTGGTACGTTTGCAAGTTACCATAACACAGATGGAGTTACGGCACAGATGTGGAGTTATTGATGAAGATGACAATAGCCTAATCGTAAAAAAAACTGACCCAACTGTCCTTGCAGCAATAGTCACGACATGACG